ATATTGTGACCTCCCTCTAAGAATCTGACAGTTTACTGTACAAGTCACATGACAGGCAAACAGAATACATTTAATAAAGTCAAGGGGCTACAGTCTTCTCTTGCACAAACTGGGGCTCTAGCGCCACTCTCTCTCTCTTCCCAAGATTCACTGCCACCAAAGCACTGCTTGAGTCACACTGTTGTTATTAAGTGCTATCAAGTCAGTTGCAACTCATAGCAACCCTATATAGATTTTCCAAGGAGCGGCTGGTGGGTTTAAACCACGAACCCTGTGATTATCAGTCCTGTGCTTATCCTACAGTGCCACACCAGCACTCATGAATCATACTAATCTTCCACTGAAAAGTTTTCAATGCCTCCATTGTCTTCATGTGCTTAACTCCAGAGCCTGATACTCGTACAGTTCCCCTATGCTCTGGTCCCAATATGCCTCTCCAGCCTTATCTCCCACTACCCTTCTAGAGAAAATGTATGCTTCAGCCACCTGTTCCCTCAAAGGACATCCCTTCCATCTGTGTGCTTTTCTACACGCCATCACCTCTGTTGGGAAGGCCTGCCTCTCTTCCCTAGTCTCTCCCTCTCAAAATCCCTCCAGAATTCAAACATCTCTTCCTCCCTCTGACCTGCTCAGCAGAGCTGAAAATGACATCTGCCACCTCTGAGCTTCTACAACTCCATGTTTATATAAGTACATAGTGATATTCTGTCCTTAGAATTATTGGTGGGCATATCTTATCTGCCCTACTAGACTTCGAATTTCATTCCTCACTGTACCCCTAATTCCTAGCACAAGACTCTGGTATTTATTGAATGCAGGTCAAATGAAGATAGAAGGGCATTACAGACTGGACGCTGAATCACAGAAAGCCAAATGAAGTTATTGGTGGGGAAAGGGGGACTCAAGTATTTCAGGCTCCTGGCCTGGGAGGGTAAGGAGGCTCTGACTCCTTCATATTTTCTTTTAAGAATAAGCAATGAATTTTCCCTGTATAATCTTCAGTATTTTCTTTAAAGCAAAGGTTGAGGAACTTCTCATTTATAATCTGCCCAGTTTAGCTCTGGCATAAAGTTTCCTCAAGGGAAGACAGGCTATACCGTATCAGACCAAACATAGTTTGAACACTGTCTAAATATCATTTCCTCAACTAAATGATATGTTCCTCAAGGGCAGTAGTGAATTGTGAATTTCCTTCATGAATGGTTCCTTTGCTCCATAGGGATGTGCACATGCACACAGCCTATCACAGTGCTGAGAAAAAAGGGGAAGTGTCCTAAAGTTTTCTTTAGGGCCCTTATAGTGGAACTCTGTCAAATCAGGACCCAAACCACCAGATGTCATTGAGTCTGAATTCAGACTCCTGGTGACATCGTGTGGAAACAGATTACCAAGCCTTTCTTCCAGAGTGCCTCTGAGTGGACTCAAACTGTCCACCTTTTGGTTAGCAGGCAAGTGAGTTCACTGTTCACACTGCCCAGGGGCTCCAAAATCAGGACAAGGAGGGGCAATTTTATGACAAAACTACCCATGCTTAACCTGCTTTTGATGACTCTGAAGACACAGGTAGTATCTGGTCACACAATCCACCAGCCAGAATTTGTACACCTGCTGCTACACCCTACCTGGGGATGAGGGTGCTACCATGTTACGGCCTGAGGGGGTCACTTGCGGCATTTTGGCATGCACTCTCTGTACCAAAGGGAAACACACAACCTAAGAGATTTTGATTAAACTTATTTCTTTGACATTCAGTCTGGAAACACACATTCCCCTGTGGTTGGGCAAAGAAAAACCCAGCAAGCCACAGGAAATAAAAAACTCCCTTTATTTCTTATCCACTTTAAGAAATCTTTCCAAAGTTGTAGCTATTATCCACTGATGCATGCATCTGTACGTCGGTCTTCCTTTTGGAAATGACCCCACTGAAGAGAGGTGGGCCTGCATGTTTTGATCCAGGCTCATATAAATCAGGGGTGGGGAACGTCTAGTCCTCGGGCTGTATAAGGCCCTCAAAATCATTTGGTGTGGCCCTGTCAGGGGAACTGAAGTTCTAGCCATCACATTAGGGGTAAGGTAATTAAATGTTTCATTAAAATAGCAGGCTAAATTTTTAAGTTGGTAATTTGGTGTGACCCGTGAATGATGCTATAAATTTTGGCAGGAAAAAAATGTTTGGTCACTATGAGTCAGTACCAACTCAATAGCACCTAACAACAACACCCCTGATTTAAATGAGCAGATGCAAGACAGTAAACTTTAAACACCATCAAATGCAATTGCTTTGACTGGCTAGCAGAGTTAGGCATGTGAGTATGTTAGGGATGGGGTGCCTTGTCTCTGATACAGCTGTAATCAAATGTGCACTTCCAAGTAAGGGAATCCAGTCACAGAAAGGAAACCATGTAATACACCTTTCAAGCTACCAGTAATGAATAGGACTGTGGGAAATGACACCTTATCCCTAACACCATTGCCTCCCTCTCCAGTAAAGGAGCAGACAGCAGTCTCCCAGCTAGATTTCACTGGTCATTGGCAGTCTGATAGTCTTACCTAAGACAGTTTAGCTTTCCTCTCTGAAGGGAGTGCAGATAGGCACAGCTTATACAGAAATATGTTTGTGCTTTTAGGAATAAGCTTGAAAATGTATATCTCAGTCAAGAGTCCCAATGGGGAAGGAGTAGGTTAAGACTAGATTTTATCCATAGGCCACTGCTAAGACTTGTTGGAACATTTTACCCTTGTGCTTCTGCACATGAATGTTTCCATTGGCATCTGATGTGGACTACAAGGTTGACTTGAACCGCAAGGTTGGTGGTTCAAACCTACCTCAAAAACCCTAAACAGGGTCGCTATGAGTCAGAACCAACTCGATGGTACTTAACAATTGTCATCTTGTTCTGATGACTGGGCAACTGCTGCCCTCATCATTATATTAAATCTAGGTTTAATACAAGGGGCTATATGACTGGGGAAGAGAGAAACTGCCCCTAGACTGGAAGGCTCATTGGAAGCCAGCATCCAGGGTCAGATATCCTGGAGGAATGATGAAGAGTGAACTTGCTGGGGATTGGGGAAAGCAAAACCAATGAGGCAGACTTGCTGGTGTTAGAAAAATACAAAGAAACTGCCTTTTTAATCCAGCGTGAGGAATCCCAGTCACTGAAGAAAGTATACAACAGCTTCCTTCCATTTAATGCTTTGGAAGTTACTCCCTACAGGGAAAAGAAGGTTGGCACCTTGGGACACCTTTCCTGAAGGGAGGATCAGTCAGGCAAAGTTGAGGCAGTATTGGTCATTCAAGCCCCTTCCATCCTCCCTTCTTACCAGATAGTTTTGCTTCTGAAAGCTACAGAACTCCAGAGCAGCCCATAGGCACAGAAGCTGAGCAGGGGGAAGAATTCTGCCATTAAGCCCAGGCACAGACAATAATGAAGCCCTAGCTACCTGGATTCCTGATATAGCCCTATAGGATGAGCACTGGACACTGACCACAGGTCTACAGTTCAAACCCAAAACTCTACACAGGGTTGCTATGAGTCGGAACTGACTCAATGGCACTTAACAACAGCTACTAGTAGCAACCCTCCAACTGTTTAAACAAAGAGTGCAGCCAATTAAGGAACTAGGGCTTGCTGTAACTGTGATGTCTGACTATTTATATTTATATACATGACTGTTTTACCTGATAGTGTGTGTGTATGTGTATATGGATATAATACATGTATAGATAAATATAGAGAACTGAGCTTGAGGCTACACACACATACCTATTCTATGAAATAAGATCTAGCCCCTTTTGCCAAGCCCACCAAAAGCTGGTATAGATTTTAAAATTTGAGAAACTCCCTAGGCTGAGCTCTTTAAAACCTAGTAGATTAACATTGAATTACTAGGCCATTTTACATAATTGTTGGGGGAAGGAGGAGTGGGAACTGGAGCCAGACTCCACCATTGTGTCCAGCTGTATTGCGCTCACTTTGGGAAGAAAGAATATAATTGTTTAACATTTTAAAAGCAAATAAAAGTGCTTAAATATTTTGTAATTTGCAACTTGCAAAGAAAACAGTAATGGGTTTCCAAGTGCATGTCTTTACTTTTAATGAAGTGTTTATTTTTCATGGTTCTATTGCCAATAAAAGAACAGCTCCCCTTCAAAAGCCTTCGGGGAAGCAGTTTCCATTTGGAAGACAGTGAGATTGCCAATAATTCTGATTTTTTTTTTTTTTTTAAAAGTAAACTCACTGGGCTCTGTGTCTAGATATAGGTTATTGCCTATTATCCCAGGTAATTATTTTTTTTGTCTCTTACTCATATAAGCAAATTACAAAACATTATGTACTATACTCCAAAAAAGAATTAAAAAAAAAAAAAAAAATTTTAAATGACACCGAGATCAGAGGGCTCCAGAATGTTTTAATGAACATGTTTCCATTATCCTCTGTGCTTGTTCATTTTGTTGGAAGAATGATTCATTCATTTCAAATTTGGCAACTTAAACAGCAGCAAATATAATTTTCCTATCACAATGCAAAGTCAGTTTTATTGGCCTTCTAAGGCTTGGGGCGGGGGGAGGTTGCCATCTTTTTTCTTTGGCAACACCACCCTCTGCTGGTTTTTGTGACCCATTGCATCTAACGAGATCGACCCAAATTGCAAACCCAAGCCTTCCTGCAACATTGCACACAGCAGGACATGATTCATAAATCAGTTTTCCACCCTGGTGATTCATTACAAGATAGTTTTTTTGTTTTGTGTTTTGTGTTTTTTTTTTTTTTAACAGCACAGCTCAAGGAAGTCATCAAGAATTCAGAAACTGCAAAACCTACCTTTGTTTGATTAATCATCTCTCTGACCTTTTTCTTATTATTGAACAGGGTTAATAATACTTGTGATCACTCAAAGTTTAACTGTATTAACTACCAAGTGATTTTTTTTTGTTTGCAAAGGCCTGATATTGCTGCCAACAGGCTTCAAATTTGAGACTGGTTAAATTTTTCCAGGTATGACCCCGAGGGACATCTGACCAATGCCACATTTCCCACTGGAGAGGTCAGCAGCTTTCACAGTGACCTGGAGAAGCTGACAAAAGTGGAGTTAGATACTTCCAACCGCGAAAATGTCCTCATGTCAACCAACTTGACAGCAATGAGTACCATATATATTTTAAAACAAGGTAAGACCATTTCCAACTTTCCCTATGTCACTCAATATAGGGTCACCTGTCGTAACTTCCACCCCAAAACCTTTGCACACAGTTATTAATGAATAGAATTCACCTCTGCCTGAAAAGTTGACTTCTCCCAACTTGCCATCTTTGGAGGTTGAAACCCAGACCAATGCATACCTTTCACAAGTTCCCATATTAACTTTGGGCCCACACCACTGTGGGAGTGATAAGGTTAAATTTCTGCCAACTCTGCTCTTCCATCAAGTTCATTTCCCACCATGCACCATTTGTAAAGCTTTGTTAGGCTCTAAGTTATTTTAAAGAAATGAAATTTGCGCCCCATGTGAGCTAAGCCATGAGACCATGGCTGACATGGGCGAATAGAAAGGACTGGGAAGGGATAGAAGGGAAATGAGGGGTTAAAAGGTCCTTTTAGTCAAAGAGAGGAAAAAAAGAAGGTAGATATGTTGGATTAGGAAGGACCGTCCAAAGAGAGGTTGCTTTCTGCCCTGTCATGTCTGTTGTTAGCTTGTGAGACCAGACAAAACTGTCCATTGTTCAGATCCACTCCTAAAAAAAAAAAAAAAAAAAAGAGTGAGTGTTAACCTTGGAAGTGTTAGAGCACTTTGTGGGGTACAGCAACTGTGATGGTGTCCCCAGGTGGTGAGGAAGTGGAATTGAACTTCATACTCTTCTCATTCTAGCTCCCAGCATATCAAATCAAGCAGTCCAATCTAACAAGTCAGAGGGAGTTTGTGAGGGAATTCTTTAAAAAGGAAAAAGAGAAAACAAAAACAGCCTGCAGTGCTAGTCAGGAGTCTTTTATCCAAGACACAAGATACCCCAGCTGTGAAAATAACAAGACCCAAATGGACAGAAAGTGTGGCTGCCTGTCAAAGTGGTTGTCTAGCCCAGAAGGCAGTTAAGTCCACAAACTTGCCTCCTAAAGCTAAACTGGTCTCTCCCCATACTTCCCGCTCTTTACTTTCCTCCCTTCCCTCCCCTCTCTTTCTCCTTTGCTCTTCTTGCTTACAGAAAACACCCAAAGTACCTATCGGGTGAGTCCAGATGGCTCCCTACGAGTCACTTTTGCCAGTGGGATGGAGATCAGCCTCAGCTCAGAGCCCCATATCCTGGCTGGAGCGGTCAACCCCACCCTGGGCAAATGCAACATCTCACTGCCAGGAGAACACAATGCAAACCTCATCGAGTGGAGGCAGCGGAAGGAACAAAACAAAGGCAACATTTCAGCCTTTGAAAGGAGACTGAGGGTAAGACTGGACCTTATGCAAGACACAGAAGTTTCCTTTTATTTTTGAAAGTTTCACAGTTTCCCTAAAATGTAGTCCCACTTCTCCAAAGCTTTTCTAGATGACTAACTAGCTAATTCAAGAGATGGTGCTAATGGCTGATGATAGTTCAGTATCCTTAAATGAGCATTGTAATAGGAGTTTTCTTTGTCATTAGCCAGCTAAAGTGCTCTAATAGTGGCAATTTCAGGCACCAAGAAAGTCTGGATGGAGAAATGTATTTAGTCAGGAGGCCCGCCAGTGTCCCTCCCAGCACACCTTGGAAATGGTTCTCAGATGCACCTCCGCTGACCCAGTTCCCTTCTTTGTACTTTCTTCCAGAAGACCAGACAGGTACACATAAAATAATGTTAGACATAAGGTGACATTTGGACAAAGGCAAGCTGAAAGGGGAAAACAGTGAATGATATCATTGCCATAAATACATACAAAGAGCCTAGACTCAGGTTGGGCTGGGGATACTCAGAGAGAGCTTTCTGTGGGGAATTGAAAATTAGAGTCTTCACATCCCTACCAGGAGTTCTGGTGAGGTGCTGTGGGCTAATGTGCTAGACTGCAATGTCATTTGAACGGCAAGGTCAGTGGTTCAAGCTCACCAGCGGCTCCTTGGAAATCCTATTCCAGGTCGCTATGGGTCAGAATCGACTCGATGGCACTTAACAACAACAGTACATCCCTACCAAGCACAGTTCACCACAGTTAGCCAAAAAGCTCTCAGCCAAAATTGCTTTTATGCAGCACAGGGAGCCTATGAGCATCACAGCACTCTGTCTACCTGTCCCTTCTTGAACATTTACCAATGTTAGGATGACATGACCAACTTTCCAAATATAGTAACATTCACTATCAGCCCCAGAGCAACTGCCAGCTTGAGTGAAACAATCAGTCTATTGTCGCCAGGCCTGCTTTGAACTCTCATATCATGCCTGAGATAACTGAAATGCTTGCATTTTATTCATTCCCAGGAACAAGTTAGAGACTTTAAGATGGTGGTTATGCAACACTAACCAGCCAGTGAATTCCAAGGAAAAGCAGTCAAACCAGTCATATGGATTGATAGGGGCAAGATAGCAATGTTCACTTTTCGGTCAGTTCTATTGGTGACACATAGCCACAAAAGTCAGTGGATGTTTGGGGTTTGGGGGTTTTGTTTTTAGCCACCACTGGAGTTGTGCAGCTGCACGGGTCATTTTGAACATTTAGTTTCTATTGGCCAGTTTCTAACAGAATATTTGCCAGACACGATACAGAATCCAGAAGTGAAACCAGTCCAAATGGTCACACTTCATTGTGTGGGTAGCAGCGAGGGTTTCTAGAAGAAGAGTTCCATTAGAAATGGGACTTCCTAGGTAGAACCCTAGAGACATCAGATGGCCTGACTTAATACCCAATGGTATATACCTGGGTTGAGAAATGACTTTGGGTTCTTAATTTGTCACTTACCATTATTCTCAGCACTGTCATAGACTATATGCACATGTGTGCATGTGTGTGTGTGCACATCCCTGTGTGGCAGGGGATACATTCATAAAGGAAAGTCAGAATTCATCGTTATCCTCGAGGAGCATATAGTTTAGCTGGGTAAATGATGTTTAGATGTTATTAAAACTGTGTTTGATCTCTTCTTTTCTCATAAGGAATAAATAGACTGTCGTTTCTCATGAGGAAAATTTAGGCCAAAGTTAAACCAGGCAGAGACTAACTACAGTTAGAATTAACTACATATGGCTTATCAACCTCATAGATTTACCACGGAAAAAAATTATCAAGAAAATTGATCTTTTTGTGCCACTCTGAGTTTATAGCCTTTAATAAAGCATTATGAACCAAATCATATACAACGTGACTTTGGGATTTTCCAGTTTTTAGGATAGCCTACCCTGTTTCCTCTCTATTCTGTATGCACAAATAATAGAGAACATTCAATATCTTAAATTATTCTTAATGTTGAAAAGCTAATGGTCATGAAACATTTGGAGTCTCTTTAGTGGTAAGGAGAAGAGTGAAATGTTATTTGGTTAATACTATTTATAATTTGACGGAGTCCTGGTATGGTACTGCAGGATAATGTACTGGACTGCAAAATCGGTTTGAACCGCAAGGACAGCAGTTCAAACCCACCTGCTGCTCCTTGGAAACCCTATACTGGGTCACTATGAGTCAGAACCCACTCGATAGCACTTCATACCAACAACAAATTTATAATTTGACCAGTATCCAATCTTGTGGTATAGTTGAGCAGATTTGTGGAATGGCTTCTTAAGGCAAAAATTCTAGACTGCCTCTTTTGTGTACTTTTAGCGTACTTTCTGAGATCTTTGAACTAGAAAATGAACCCCATTATTGACTCATTGTTATTGTTAAGGCTTGAGTCAATTCAGACTCATAGCGACCCTGTATAGTCTTTCTGAAGAGTGGCTGGTGGGTTTGAACCACCAACTTTATGGTTAGCAGTCCAGTGCTTATCCTGCAGTGCCACACCAGAACTATGTGATGTTAATATATATGTTCCTAGAGATCTAAGAATAACAATCCTTTATGTATGTTTAGAAGGAGATCTGGTAGCGTAGTGGTTACAAATTGGGCTGCGAACCTTAAGGTCAACAGTTCGAAACCACTCTGTTCCACGGGAGAAAGATGAGGCTTTCTGCTCCCGTAAAGATTTACAGCCTCGGAAACCCTGTACAGGGGTGCTATGGGTCGGAACCAACTCCACAGCACATAATCAACCAACCAACCTAACCATGTATGTTTAGAGAAGGAACTTTAGAGAAGGAACCCTGGGCGCAAGGATTAAATGCTCAGCTGCTAACCAAAAGATTAGCAGTTTGGAGCCACCAGTTACTCCTCAGGAAAAAAAATGGAGATCTGCTCTTGTATAGATTTGTTTCTGTTGTTAAGTGCCATCAAGTCGGTTCCGACTCACAGCGACCCTGTACAGGCTTTCTGAGGAGCAGACTCATAGCAACCCTGTACAGGGTTTCCGAGGAGTGGTTGGTGGGTTTGAGTCAATGACCTTGTGGTTCACAGTCCAGTGCTGATCCTGCAGCCCCACACCAGGAGTCCCTGTAGAGATTGTTGTTATAGCTAAGTGCCATTGAGTTTGTTCTGACCCATTGCAGCCTTGTATAGCGTTTCCCAGGAGTAGCTGGTGAGATTGAACCACTGACCTTAATGTTCAAACCGACTTTGCAGCCCAGTTCATTATCCCACAGCACCACACCAGAACTCCCTGTAAAGATTATTGTTGTTGTTGTTAAGTGCCCTCGAGTTGATTCCAACCCATAGCGACCCTGAATAGGATTTCCGAGGCTGTAAATCTTTATGGGAGCAGAAAGCCTCATCTTTCTCCCGTGGAACAGCTGGTAGTTTCGAACTGCTGACCTTAGGTTCGCAGCCCGATTCATAACCACTATGCTACCAGAGCTCCTTCCTGTAAAGATTACAGCCTGGGAAACTCTATGGGGCAGTTCTACTGTGTCATATGGGGCCACTAGGAGTCTGAATTGACTGGACAGCACACAACAACAGCGCTTTAGAGGTAACAGACTGCTTTCAAAGTCGGGATCTTATTTGATTGCCACAGCCATCAAGTATTGTCATTCCCAATTTACAGATAAAGAGACTAAGGCTCAGAGAGGTTAAATGATTTGCCCAAAGTCAAACAGCCATTAAGGAGCAGAGCCAGGACTAAAATGCAGGCTTTAGCCTAGCACAGCACTCTTTCCACTATATCATGCTGTGCTGCCTTGTTCCTTAAAATAATTAACCTATAAATCATTGTCCCACTCAGTGGGGAAGCCACCTTGGCAGAACTGGGCTCCTCATTTCAGCACTGACAAAAGGAGACAAATAATGGACTTGAACCTACTGGCAAGTGTGGGTGGTTCAGGACAATGGGCTGGCCTCCAGACAGGGAAAGCTCAGAGTAGTCAAGAGGAGGGGGAAGACTGTTTAACTGGTTAATTCGGCTCTGCTCATTCATTGAAAACAATGAAATAAAATAACTATTGCCATCCAGTTGATTCTGACTCACAGCAACCCTGTACAGGGTTTCCTAGAGTATAAATCTTTACGAGAGTAAAACATCTCTTTGTTCTCCCTCAGAGTGGTTGGTGGGTTTGAAACTGCCGTCTGGTTAGTAGCCCAATGCTTACCCAACAATGCTACCAGAACACCTTCTGCCCATCCACTGTTGTTGTTGTTAAGTGCCATCGAGTCAGTTCTGACTCATAGCAACCCTGTGTAGACTTTATGAGATGTGTCTGGTGGGTTTGAACCTCAAACCTTGTTTAACAGTTAACTATTAACAGTCCAGTGCTTATCCTACAGCACCACACCAAGACTCATAAGAAGTTTAATTTCCAGTGCTGCCTCAGTTTCCCAAGATTGGTGGTTACGTGGTGTGGAGTCGGTTCCAACTCATAGCAACTCTGTATAGGGTTTCCGAGGCTGTAAATCTTTATGGGAGCAGAAAGCCTCATCTTTCTCCCACGGAACAGCTGGTAGTTTCGAACTGCTGGCCTTGAGGTTCACAGCCCTATTCGTAACCATTACCCTACCAGAGCTCCTTTCGTAACCACTTGGCATCTTCAAATTAATAGAAGAAAAAAAATAGACATATCACACATGCCTAAAAGCTAGGTATGAATTCAGTTTTTACAAGGCAGATTCTTTCCCTACTGAATTTATTTACCTCAAAGATAGTTCCCCTAATTTGATATAAACCTATGAGATATGACTTTCTCACTTCCTGGGCCAGGCAGTGACTCGCTTGTTCACTTGCATGTAAACATGAAGAAGCCATCCTGTATGCCTTCAGTACTTTGAGACCTTGAACCGAGTCACTGACTTCTCCTGGTAGAGGTGCCATTCCAGATCCAGAACAGGTGGCAGTACCAGAGCTGCTGAGTCATAAAACTAGGGTCAAATAGATACTCACCTGATCACACCCATCGAGT